TATGAAGCAATTATTAATGATTTGCTTCACATTGATCTACGAGAAACGTTTTTAAGTAATGTTTTTTCTTTTTATTCGATACTCGTATTGTTACTTTTTCCCAAATATGTAACTTATATAATAATAAAGTGATTATCGTCTTTATTTTATGAACTTCATTGCCGAAATATGGTTTACTGTTTGTCATGAATATAGGCCCAAAATAGCGTACTTCCCATAAGCCCAGAAATGGACAAGACCGACCCTGCATGTGACTAATGTAAGTGCTCTCTCTTGAGTCTTTTCTATTATATTGCTTCTTTAAATACTCAAGGAAGGTGTCTGAAACGCTGCAAATAATAAGAAATGAGGATAAAGAAATAACACAACAAAAAAATTACGGGATTGACACGGAATTGGGCACGGACTTATCGATTTGTGCCAAATAGCTCGTGCCAAATCCCTGCCAAAGTCCATGCTAATCCCGTGGTTTTTTTGTAGTGTAAATATTACAAAAACTTATGTATTTTCCTAATATATGACTATTTATGTTTTTTGATATGACAATGACTATAATTATTATGATATTATCTAATCTAATTTTATGTATGTAATGATTACACTGAAGGACTAAGAGAGATGAAAAACATACTTCAAAACTTGATATTATTGGTCTTTATTAGAGTCTACATCACTCTAAATTCAGAAAAAAAAGATGACACGCTATCCCTGAGCGCCTCCAGTATCCAACATCGACCGGACAGTTAGATGAGAGGATGTAAATCGAACTTTAATCACAAGCTGACAGATAGAGAGTAAGGTTTTGATCATGATACTTGTAGAGGCTCAATGCATTTTAGCATAGTAACCTATCATCGCAGTTATCGGGATTTGAACCCAATACTTACCCTTTGTGGCACCCCTATCTACCCACTTGAGCTAAGCTCACCAGTACATCACTCTGAATTCTAAAATGTATAATTAGAACAGATATCCGGCCACTCGAAAGATACAGTCCAAGTTAGCACTCACTTCAAGTTGTGTCTTTTCTGATACACTTTCATTTGAGGCCCTATAAGTTGTTAACAGGAAAACATAGACGTGGGAAGTTGTTCTACTACATAAAAATGGCAGGGCTACAAGTTTAATTGCAAATCTGTAGACAATGAAAGTGAGTTTTACATGGCCTTTGTGCTCAAGAGATAGAATTGGCATATAAAAGAAGTTGGAGGAGGTGGGGTTGGCAATGAGAAGCTGAAAACGACACAATCAGAATGCAGCAATGATGAAAATGACAAAAGAGTCCCAAAGGTGATGAACAGACTTCTGATACTCAACTGTACAGTCCATATCAGATTCCGATTGATTTGCAAGTTTTACTCTTTATCTACTTCATTTTCCAGGAAAGACTAAGCATCTTCATATTCATGCTTGGCACGTAAAGCAACTTTTGAAGAACCAAAACAAAAAATTTAAAAAATAATAGCTTAGTTAATGTCCATATCAGAGAATAGGACATTAATTCGTATTCTTATTGAAATGGGAAGCTAATCTAATTTCTATGCATTCTTTATATCTCCTTCCCATAAGAAACATCTATCTACAAGAATTCCATACCTTAAGTAGGCATTAGACAAAATAAGGATGTAATTAGCTTATTTAAAATCAGGACAAGCTAAAAACTTCACCATCTCAGCTCATTCAATAAAATTTATTTGAAAACCCTGACAATGATTAAATGAAAAGTTGCCACAGATAGGCTTTTCCAATAAAATGGTGTGATGGATACATCTACCATATCAAGTTATTTCATGGTGTGAAATAATGGGAAATGTTACTCCATTAGGAACCCTAACAGGTATATTTATAATAGAAAAGAGTTGTCAAAATACATAAGAATTCCTAATTAATATAAACTATCACACCCCCTGAAGCTGTGCGGGAGATACAACGCGCAGGTTGTCTTTCAAAAAATGAAACTGCTGACTAGATAAACTCTTAGTAAATATATTTGCGAGCTGAAGACGTGTAGGAACATACTTGACAACGAGATCACCATGAGCTACTCTCTCACGAACAAAATGATAATCAATGTGAATATGCTTGCTGCGAGCATGCTGAATTGGATTTGCTGTGAGGTAGGAGGAAGAAATGTTATCACAAAATAGGTGAACAGGGGCTTGAACCGCAAAACCGAGCTCAAATAGAACCGATCGGATGTGTAAGGTGTCCTACACCGTATAAATTATGGCCCGATATTCTGCTTCTGTAGACGACTTAGAGACTGTAGGTTGCTTCTTGGATTTCCAAGAGACAAGATAAGGATCCAAGAAAACAGCAAATCCTGTAGTAGAACGAGAGCTATCCGAATAGTCTGCCCAATCAGCATCAGAGTAAGCAAAAATACATGTGGGGTGAGCGGAAGTCTGGAGCCATAAGCCATGATCACTAGTGCCCTGTAAATAACGAAATATGTGCTTGACAGCAAGCATGTGAGTAGTACGAGGGGCATGCATAAACTGAGACACTAAATGAACTGCATAAGTAATATCTGGTCTTGTCAAAGCTATATACTGCAATGCACCTACCATACTCCGATACTCGGTAGCATCAGCTAGGAGTTTACCATCTGTGAAAGAGAGAGTTGTACGAGTAGCTACCGGTGTACGAACAGATTTGAGAGTGTGTAAATGAAATCGAAGAAGAAGACCAGACACATACTTTTGCTGAGAGAGAGAAAAACTCCCTTAGAGTTTTGAACAGCCTGGACCCTCAAAAAATAATGAAGATCACCTAGATCCTTCATAGCAAAATGACACGCAATGCGACTAATAAAAGAAGACGCACGAGATGGAGAATTACAAGTAATAATAATATCATCCACATATAACAACAAATATATAACAGACTGGCCTTGACGATAAATAAATAAGGAATTATCAGACTTGCTACAGAGGAAATGATGAGTAAGAAGAAAACTACTGAAATGGTGAAACCAAGCCTGCAGGGCTTGCTTAAGATTGTAGATGGCTATTCGCAGACGACATACGTGATGTGGAAACTGAGGATGAATAAAACCCCGCGTTTGGCGCATATAAACTTCTTCAGTAAGATGACCATGAAGGAATGCATTTTTCACATCCAACTGATGCATAACACACCCAAAAGAAATGGTAAGAGTAAGAACAATACGAACTGTGGTGGGTTTAACTACTAGACTAAAGGTTTCTGAAAAATCTACCCTAGCCTGCTGATTAAAACCTTGAGCAACTAAACACGCTTTACGACGCTCAATAGAACCATCCGAGTGAAATTTAGTTTTATAAATCCACTTAGACCCAACCACATTTTTAGAGCTATCAAACGGAACTAAATCTCTAGTATTATTAGAAATAAGTGCATTAAGTTCATCTGTCATAGCCTCACGCCAAATTGAATGCTTATGTGCCTCAGAAAAACAAGTCGGATCAGTGGAGCTAACTGTGTTTAACGTAAAAGTAGACTTAGGTTTAAAAATACCGGACTTAGCCTGGGTTTGCATAGGATGAACATTTATTCGGGGAGCTTGTGGACTGGAGGGAGGGGAGTGTGAGGTCACTGGCGGGCTGGTTGAGGTATCTGGCGATGCCAGGTTGGGATGTGGAGATAATGGTGATGAAATGGTGTGAGGTATGGCTAAGGAGGGGGATCGGCAGTAGGTGGGAGGGGAATTATGGGCAACTGGAGGTGAGGAAGCAACTGGTAACAGTGTCGTAGGGGAGGAGGGTGGATTGCCGTCAGCTAGTGGCAAAGCAGGGAGAGTAGTGGACGGTAGGGATGGTGGTGTCCTAAGAGTATTAGTGAGTAAAAAATCAGAATTAGAAGAAGAGGAAGATGACGCAACGGAGGAAGAACTTAATATCGGAAATGGAAAATTATTTTCAAAAAATCGAACATGACGACTCACGTAAACTCTACCAGACTTAGGCTCAAGACAACAATACCCTTTGTAGCCAGATGCATAGCCAATAAAAACACAATGAACAGAGCGCGCGGGTAGACAATTTATTGGAAGAAGATGCAGGAATATTTGGAAAACAGGAACATCCAAACACATGCATAAAGTTATAATCAGGAACTTTGTGAAAAAGTCTTTCACAAGGAGAAGATCCACAAAGTAAGGGAGAGGGTAAACAAACAGTTAATAATATATGCAGTCGTAAAAATGGCATCTGCCCAGAAGTGACTAGGAATAGAAGCTTCAAGAAGCATAGCCCTAGTGAGTTCTAACAGATGTCGATGTTTACGTTCAGCAACCTCATTTTGTTGAGGTGTGTCAGGACATGGCTTTCGAAAATATATGTCATTTTTATCTAAAAATTGTTGCATATTAAAATTAACAAATGCATGACCTCCATCACTTTGAAAAACTTTAATTTTTGTAGTAAAAATATTTTCAACTAGAGCTTTAAAATTTTGAAAATGGTGAAAGACTTCAACCTTTGTGCGCATGGGATAAAGCCAAGTATAGCGAGAAAAATCATCAATAAAACATACATAATATTTAGGAAAAATTGAAAATAATAATCCCAACTATTGTCGGTCTGCTAACAATAATCCCAACTATTAATTATTTTTGTATAATCCCAACTATATAGACTGTCCGCCAATAATGGTCCATGACTAGATATTACCTCCTATAACAAGTGAATTTTAAATAGAATTAAGCGTAAAAATTAAAAGTTTAGATTATTTATAGAGATTACTTGCTATATCTCTTCTCATCCACTTTAGAATTTATTTATAGCCGATCACATCGGACCATTATTGGCGGAAGCTACCTAAAGTTGGGATTATTCTGAAATAATCATAGTTGGGATTATTATGAGTGGACCATCAATAGTTGAGATTATTACTATCAATTTTTCCTAATAATTAAATCCCAAGTTAGATTAAATCCCAATTTTTCCTAATCAATTTATTTATGGGAAGACTGCCAAACATCAGAATGAATTAATTGCAAAGGCATAGTAGAAGTATGACTAGCATCCGTAAAAGGTAAACGTTGAGATTTGTCTAACCGGCAAGAAATACAATCATGAGAAAAACTAGAGCTACTACAAATATGTTTCTGACTAGTTAAAGTACGTAAAACAGAATTGCCACAATGGCCTAATCTACGATGCCAAAACGGGACCACATGAAGTGAAAGATGATAAGGCAAGCGGTGGCGTTGAGTTGAGGCTGATTGGATAAAGATGACCATGACTAGATGCTTGAAGAAGAACCTTCCCCGAAATTTTGTCCTTAACAAAAAAATAATTTTTATCAAAAATTACTACACAGTTGTAATCAGCACACAATTTTTGTATGGATAATAAATTAAATTTAATGTGAGGCACATGAAAGACAGACTTAAAAGGGTGAGTGGACGACTAGAGGAATTTAAATGAACATCTCCAATATTAACAATGGGAAGTTTAGAGCCATTAGCAACACTCACAGAAAGTGATCCAGTATAAGGGAATTTATTTACTAAAATACCTTCTGTAGGAGTCATGTGAGCCGAAGCCCCAGAGTCAGGATACCATAAAGCAGCATTAGAGTCACCATTGGCAGTCAACAGAGCTGGTGCAGACGGCTGACTAAAGCGAGAGGGACAATGAAGGGCAGAGTGACCTGCAGAAAAACAGATTTGACAGACAATAGGTGACGGAACGGAGCCAAGAATACCCTCACCTGATGGGAAACCTGCATAGCTAGCGTGAGTACCAGAAATAAAAGAGGGATTAATATTTAAAGTTTACCAGACAGAATTATATGCAGAACCTGTAGTGTTTGGGCTAGGATAATGCACCCCCTGAGTCTGACCCTGTAGCTGACCAGAACCAGGAACAGGCTGGGCATGTTGTCCGCCGAATGCTGGCTAAGCCACCCCCTGCTGCGAAGCACCAAGAGCTGCTGTCCAGCCGGCTGCTGGGCACCGTACCGCTGCGGGTGTCCACGGCCGTGACCGCCACGTCCGCGGCCCCCTCTGCCACGGAAAGCCTGTGCTGCCGGTGGAGGACCAGGTGCGGCAGCCACCGCAAATGATTGATGACCGGCCCCCGATTGCTGCTGACGCTCATAAAGCACTTGTTGCTCTTCTTCCAGTAGACGAGGGTGCATAATATCAAAAGGGAAATTATCAGTAAACAACGAGACAGTATTGATAAGAGCGCGATAATCCGGTCCCAAGCAAGCCAAATAGACTGATTAAGCTCTTTATCCGAGACAGGGGAATTAATAGCAGCAAGAGCATCCACTAGATTCTTGATTTCTCTCAAGTAACTTTCCATAGACTGAGTGTCTTTCTTCTTCATGTTTGACAATAACTGTTTAAGTTCCATGCACCGGGGTAAACTGGCAGACATGAACCGAGTTTGAAGTCTAGCCCAGATGTTAGCAGAATGTTTTAAGTCATGAACATCAACTAAAACATCCCGAGTCAAAGTAGCAAACAACCAACAGCGAATTGTTTGATCTACTCGAAGCCAATGATAATATTCTGAATTTGGAACTTCACAATTAGTAAAATCAGCAGTATACATGGGTGGTATCTGAATGGAAACATAAACAATGTCAAACAGACCTTGAGAGACCAAGAATGATTCGAACTGAGTGCGCCAGATGAGACAATATTCTACGGCTTTAAATTTAATGGTAAAAATTTGAGAAACCGTAGTAATATGTGATACAGACTGAGCAAGGGCCGACATAGGGGAGCTGTAAGCGTTCTGGTTCGGAGGCCGAATAACACCTGGAGAGCCAGAAAAAGTTGAGCCAAAAAACGGTGACCCTACAGGTGCCGGCGTAGAGGGACCTGGTGACCGTATATGAGCCAGTTGCCATGGAAAACGTGGTGGGAGCTGCTGGAACAGAGAGTAAGGTTCCGCCACGGAGAATTGAGGCAGCGGCGGGAAACTGGCAGAAAGCAGCGTCGTCCGAGGTGGCACCGTCGGGGAGGCATTAGGGCCGCAGAGTGGAGCAGCGGAAAAAATGGAGGGGAAACTTGGCTGCATCGAAACACTCGTGGTGGTGTTGGTAATTCCTGACGCCATGGAGAAGGAGGCTGCGGCAGTAGAAGTCATGGCAGAAGACGCCATAGTCTTGGAAGAGATTGTCGCCGAAGAAGACGTCGCTGATGAGGGAATTGCAGCGGAAGAAGTCATCAGGCGGCGTTAATTTTTAGAGAGAAAAAAATTAGGTGAGCTCTTGATACCATGTGAAATAATGGGAAAGGTTACTCCTTTATGAGCCCTGACAGGTATATTTATAATAGAAAAGAGTTGCCAAAATACATAAGAATTCTTAATTAATACTATCCTCCGTTCCATAAAAGTTGCAACAGTTTGACTTTCACGTTTGCCAACGCGCAACTTTGACTATAATTATATTTATTTACGTATTAGTAAACATTAAAAAAAGTTAATATATTGGAAATTTACACTAATACAAATTTATTAATATTTTATACATAATATTTTTATTATATATATTATTAGAAAATCGTAGTCAAAGTAAGATGTGTGAATAGTGCAGAAATTCCAATGTTGCAACTTTTATGGAACGGAGGAAGTATAAACTATTACATGGTAGTCAAATATAACTATTCAAACTCTCACACACACATATATGAGATTTTCGACCACTTGTTATATAAGATTAATCTTTTATATTTACCCATATTTGATTGAAATATTCATATATATATATATATATATATATATATATATATATATATATATATATATATATATATATATATATATATTCCTAGTACCGGAGAGAGTATGTAAAATGACATTGCTTTACGAAAAACCTATTTCATCATATACTTGAGATGGCCACTTCCATTGTTCATATTCCTGTAATTCTCTAGACATTTCAATAAAGAACTCGATCGATCCTCGATACAAAATCAGCGGCAAAAGCTCAAACAAGCTACTTAAGACTCTAAAAGAGCAAACAAATTTCAATATTGGTTTGTTGCGATAAGCCATCATCTTGCGTGGTAAGTTGATTATTAACTCACATATTCGCGTGTTGGTTGTTCCTACTATCATTTAGATATTTTATGATGTATCCGCAAAACTTAAAAGAGGACATCTATTTGAAACAGTATAAGAATTAGTTTTAATTTAACATAGGTTTTACATATATGAATTGTTTATTGCTTATGTGTCTTGCAAATGTTTTCATTCATTGAAATGTCATACCAGGCTCTCTTTTATTCTTTTAACTTTTCTAAATCTTAGTCTATAAACAGCTAGACAAAAAACTCTACTAATGTATGACAACCAATGCACATAATAAATGTTTACCACCTGCATAAATTAATCAGGTGATGAGATTCCCATATTCACATTCTCTAGAATGACAAAATCAGAAACCTGAGAAACTAGAGGGATTAATATTTCCAGGAGTGTGACCAAAAAGCAACAGACCAAACCATTCTTGGATGTTTCAAACTCCAGAGAAGGGCACATCCCAAATTCTCAAAAGGGCTAAAGATGGCCCATGAATCAGGAACCCTCAAATGATGGGCCAAAACCTTAGAAACAAATTCCATGTGACATTCAAACTACCAATACCCAATTGGTCACCGTGCCAATTTTCATGACCTCATGGATCAATGTGTATTTATCCACAAACCTTTCAATAGTAATCATCACTCTTCAAGAAAAGTACTCTCAATCATTCTCAAAACAATGTTCTGCCTCGAGATATATAGAACATAACATTCTCTTCAACAATAACAATAACAACATCCAAGTCTCAGTCCCAAAAGATATTGGGGTCGGCTAAAATGAATCGATACATGATATCACCACCACCAAAAGGATAAAGGAGGGATAAAGGAGGATGTTGTTGTGGTAGACCGTATCACATAATCACACCGCATCACATGAATTGAAATATGAACATAACATTCTCTTGAGCAATGAAAAATCATAAGAATATACGTGAATTAAGCACCCCTAATACGTGCCTAGTGCCACATTTTTTGTTAACCTGGAATAGAAATTGCCATCTTCGGAATGTGAACAGAAACTGTGAGACAAGGTCGTTTGGATTCCTATTTGTAACAGGGTTTTTACAGTTTTACTTGGACTGAAATTTTATGGTATGGTATGTTCTAGTATGATATGGTAGGATCTGAACTTGTTCGGATATATATATATATATATATATATATATATATATATATATATATATATACTCCATATTCGGACTTATATATATGATCTGATCTTGTAAATGTATGGTCTCGGTGTATTTTATAACTAATCAAGTCTGGTCTAGTGTGGTCTGGTCTGAACTGGTCTGGTCTTATCTGATCTGGTCTGGTCTAATTTGTGACCGAAAACAGTCCAAGTAAAAATATCCTAACAATAATAATATTAATATTAATTTTTATAGTAAAGTTAATAATAAAAATAATTAATTATTTATAATAATAACAGTAACAATAATAGAAGCATTATTCTTAATCTTTGACTTTATATACGTAGTATATCCAACTTTTATCAAATTTGAGTTTTTCTTTTACGGTTTTATAAAACGTTTATTAACGTGTAATATAGAAGTGCAGCAGCACCCGCTACTATGGCCATCAAATTCCGGTCCATTGAATCAAACCCTTCAATGACTTGCTTGGGTGAGAGTAGTACTACAATGGGTGATCACCTGGGAAGTCTTCGTGTTGAATCGAAGAGAGAGAAGTAAGGGAACACTCAAGCAGCCATCTCCCCCCTTTGTAGGGATTGAGATTTTCGGTCGCCCCTATTAATATGGGACTGGAGCGGCAAATTATACTGATTTTAAATGTTATAATGCTTGGGACTGCAACTACATCGGAGGAGATAACGTTGGCGGATGAACGAGTTGCGGATGGGAATTTGTATCAGTGTTGGATCGTGAAGCCTTGATTTCCGCTCCGACAGTGGTGGAGTTGGTATTCACCTATATTGCAAGAGTTCATCCTCCTCCGGAACCACCTCCAAACCAGGAAGAGTTTTGTGGAAAGATTTTATTTCAATATTATTTTCTCTTTAGTAGTACTTGTTTCTGTTTTAGTCAAAGTAGATTGGTTTGAATGTTTGGATTTTTGGAGTTCTTTTGATAGGTAGGGTTTCAGATCCGGTCATTTTAGGTTTAAATTTGCTTGTTTTAGGTTTACCGAGTTAGATTGCTTTGTATGAGGTGACTGACTTTATGACTACTCCTAGGTTCACAATGGAGTTTGTAAATTTCGTCTGAAGGTTGTCTTGTATGCGTTCTCATTTTTAATAAAAAGTCGCTCTTTTATGAAAAAACTTTTAATGTAATTTCTGAATGTGTATGATGGAGTATATGGCTCAGGAACCCCCGGTCCATAGACTTCTACTATTCTAATGGAGGTCCAATAGGCCCAGGAAGCACAGCAAGCCCAAATCATGACGCCCCAAGTACTAAGCAACCCACATGGCGCACTAGGGGTGCCTTCGGCCCCCTGGCCGAAGGCTCCAATTCTCACAGGATGGCCAGATCAGGAAAAAAAAGCTATTGGGAGAAGACGGTGAAAATCAGTAGCCCTCGGTACCTAGAGCCCTCAGCACTAAGGAGGTCCCCGGTACTCAGAGCCCTCGGCCAATCATCTACAGCCGAGGGCACCTTTTCCGACATAATATCCGCTCCACATGCGCAGGGATCACCGTACCAAGTACGACGTCCCATCCAACAGCCGCATTAAATGCGGCCACATGTGATTGCCAGCGCCAACCAGTTGAGGTGACCCCTCGGCCAATGGAAGCTTGACACGTGTCCCTATCTGGCATTTATTGCTTGTAAGGAATATTTGTAATTAGATTTTGATGATGCTAGATTAATTAGGACTTTAGAGTACCCCTCTTTAGACTTAATGTATTAGAATTTTCCTTTGTAAATTCTTTAGTCTAATCGACTTAGCAGAAGGCCTCCAGAGCAGAAGATCTACTAAGCAGAAAGCCTCCAGAGCAGAAGACCCTTGATAAGGCATTGGTTGAACAGAGGACCTTTGGTTCTCTACTTCAGAACAGAAGACCTCAGGGTCTCTGTTAGCCTTTACTCTGACAGAAACCCTCATGGTTCTCTGTTGGATATCCTTTCAACAGAAGTGCTCAAGACCTTCTCTGATCAACTCTCTACTAAAGACACCAGAAGGCCTGACACTTGGAAGAATTCCACCAAGCCGGGAAACCAACTGAAAGATTCCTTCAACGGCTAGGAGTTTTGAACGGAAAAGCTACAGTACGCGCATTAAATGCACATTTAATGCCTTCCATACTCCGTAGAGTAATTGCAGATGATTGGCCGCAATGTCAGGATTACTTTATCCCAAAATAGTAACCCGCCAACTTTACCGGGTCCTACTGGTCAAGTCAACTGCTCGCTCATTTAATGCAGTTGTCCTCCTTCTCCTCCAACGGGAA